CGGAACTGTCAGTCCCGTTGTTTTCTCTTCCAGATCGTTCAGCCTGGAGTATCATTTTAAATGCAAATTTAGGAAAATACATCTATAATTAAACAAATTTTCTTTTCGTTTTTGCAGTTGCAGCAATAGTATTATTCTGTTCCGCTTCTAGTCCACATAGCATACCTCTGACGGAAGTGATTGAGCCGATATGGCTGATGCTGCTCCTGGGAACTGTGCATTGCCAAATTGTTTCAACAAGAACACCCAAACCCTCTCTAAGTACAGGGGGTAAAAGAAGAAGGTACTGTCTATTTGAAAGTGATCTTTTTTGTAGATTTCTGTCATTTGAATCCAAGACTATTCTTGTCTATTTTATGTTATCTTTTAAAGTTGACCTTTCAGAGTAAGACCTCCAGAATTAGCTACCAAATGAATTGGTTTCTGTTTGTTTCATGACTGTTTTGAGACCATGTCCCTGCTATTTGTCTTTCTTTCTTAAAGTTTATTTCTAGTAGCCTATTTTCCATCAAAGGAGATATAATCGGGCTTCAAAAAGTTCATCGACAAATCCATTATCTTTTAGTTCCATTTTTCCATGAACTTTTTGCATCTCCTCTAAAATCTTGGGTTTCTGAGATGATTTGGAGAAATTAACCAACAAGAAATTTCAACTATTCTTTATTTAATAAATGGTGTTTGATACTGCTTAATATTGCTTTTTAATTGACTATTGCCAGTCTCATTGGCCGCTCAACACAGTGAAGCTTTGTAAGAATCTATTGGAGCCTTTTAGATCTTGTTTTGAATATTCTTGCTATGAGATTACAACTTTCAGTTTTTAAAAGCTGAGGATTTGGCATATAAACCTGTCTTATTTTTAAAAAATCATACTATGTTAAATATATTGCTGATTATAACTATATTCTAAGTTTTTCTTCATCTACAGGTAAGTGGCACTCAAATGGAAAGAAATGCTATGTAACTATTTGCCCAGTGCAGTCCTTACAATGTCCACTGACCTGTCAGTATGAGCAAGAAATAATATTTTAATGTTTATAAAAATTGTTCTTGAATATGTTCTGTGATATGTGGATTAAATTTTATCTAGTACCTCTGAGTTTTTTATGCATTCAAGTTGCTGTGCTTATATTTACCAAAATGTTTGAATCACCACAGAGAAATTGGTTATTAAAAATGTAAAGCTACCTTCCACTTTTAATCTCTTCTGATGAAGGAAATTAAGAAAAGCAGCCCATTTGGAAGTACACAGGGAAGGAGATGGTTCTAGTACCACAGATAACACGCAGGAAGGAGCAGTTCAGAGCCCCGGTCCAAGCACCTCTTACAGTGTTGGCGCTGTCTTCAGAGATCTCTGGCATGCTGCTTTCTTTTTATCAGGGTTTGTATTTATTTATTCAAGGGCTTATTTGGCATAGAGATGCAGTATCCCTCTTCTGGCATTTCAGACTCAGTTAATATTCATGTTTACATAGATTGATCTCATTATGAATTTTGCTTGGATAAATTATAGATAGTAAAACAACAGAGCCCACAATACACTTTGAGATGTATAAATATGAGAATGGATATATATACTAGAAAAGTATCTTTAGCTAAAATTGTTTGATATTTGTTTCATTTATGGCTTCTGAAGCATGCGATTTCTTCTGCTAACTGATTAATTTATTTTTAAATTGTCTTTATTACTATGTGAGTTGGAAAAAATTTTGTTCTCCTGAGAACCTGCCTCAGTTATATAAATTAAGCATATAAGCGTTGTTATTAAAAGAATAAAGTATATACAGTAGTATAAAATTCTACTTTTATACATTGGGATTTTTGTTTAGTTTGTACCTAGCAATGAAGATTTATTAGTAAATAGGGAAATCACATTAAAGCACACTTAAAAAAATAAAATTTTGAATACTTAATTTACCGAAATCTTTTAAAAAAGTATATTACTAAGTTGCATGTAATTTGCATACCATAATATATTTGAAAAAAGGTAAAAAGCTGTGATGAAAACAATAAATTAATGAGAGTTGCAAATTTTAAAAATAAAGAAAAGGGATACTGTACTGCAAATAACTATATTCTGTCACTTTTGTTAATTCTTCTACTAATACAGTGTTTTCATCAATTTTTGATTTTTACTGATAATAACGTTTATCATGCATTATACAATTATGCAGCTATATCCTGAAAATTTTTCATTGTATTTTGATAAGTTTTCAAAAATCTAAATAATTAGCAGCAATTGATTAAGTAGATTCCCTGGCCATTTTAACCACTCACTTATTCTTTGTCCAGTGTATAAGTTTGATTTTTAAAATTCTTTTATATTGTGTTTCATTCTGCCTTGAATACTCACGCTCTGCCATTTAAAAAAAATTAGCTCTCCTTTCCAACCACAGGATGTAGTAGTGTTCTCTTAGGAAAATCAATTTTTTGATGATGAGGGCAATGAATGTACAAATGTGCTTTACACAATTGATGTATGTATGGATTGTGATAAGAGTTGTATGAGCCCCTAATAAAATGATTTAAAAAAAAGAATACCAATTTTTTGAATGTTTCTTGAGATCTTCAGATAAGCAATTATATATACATGGTGGATATATTTTCCTTTCTGGCAATTATTTAGTTGTCTAAAATTTTGTATTTTAGAATTTCGAACTTAGTGGACTGGGGTCTTTGGACACTCCATCATGTTTCTTTACTTAAATGAGACCCCAGACTTCCCGTATTCTTGCTTTGGCTATAGTGTGACTATAACTAGCCAAACCTAAACCCAAACGCAAACTCACTATCATCACGTTGATTCAATCTCATAGTAGTCATTGATAGTAGTAGTGGCTAACAACCCCAGATTTCTTCTTTTTAATAATGAAAACTACTTACTTAAATGTTTTTTAATAGTGTACTGTTTTCAGCTGTCTCATTTTAGGATTGTTTTGCCAGCACATGAATAAGCTTGCTTTAAACATTAACTTCCAAAAGATCTTAAGAAAATGTAAACTTTAGAATTTCTAAACTGAATTCTGAAATCCCAATAATGCTGTGTTCTTTGAGACAAAATGGAAGAAAGATGAAGCTTTTTACCTTCAGTAAAAAATTAGTCTCAAAAAAAAAAATTTGCAGTCTCAGAAACCCCCCCCAGGCAGTTCTACTGGGTCCTTTAGGGTCACCATGAGTCTGAGCTGACTCAATTGGCAATGACATTGGGTTTTTAGTTCAGGTAAAATTTAAGTTTGTCAGGAAAGGCTCAAACTGACAAGTTAACTGAAACTTGTTTAACAAAGTTATTTTTGGTGATTATGAACTGAAAAGCTGGATATTTCCATTGAGGTAGCTCAAGTAATATAACTGGTTGAGTGAAAAAAAGTATCACCGCACAAATAGCTTTGAGTATGATCTCTTGATGTTCTCTGAAAAAACATTGTTTTTAAATCCTGTATTTATAAATTGGAGAGACCCTGCTTATTATCTCTAAGTACATTTCATTCTCAAGATAATATTCTTTTAATACAAGACGGTATTTCTCATTTGAAAAAATTAGGAATTACTGTGAGAGAACTGTATGAAGTTTAGTAAATGAAGCCGAAGAATCAACTGAAAAAGGAAAAGCAATCATATTTAACGATTTAGTATTTAAATTTCAATGAATTGCTATATTTTTGCACAAGTAACATATGCATTTCACATTTTTTTGTTTTTGCCACTGTACACTCCTTCAAAGGTATTTTCATAAGCTCACTATGCTCAAATTTTTATAACAACACGCAAAATAACCAGCACAACACACTTTTGAAAATACCTTAAGTGGGATTGAATGTAGTGAGAGAAAGTATATAATAGCGCTATTTGCTTAAAAATAGTCTTTGTCTTAAAATAGCATAATTGTAGTTTTTACTGAAACAAAGCTAAAATCCTGAATTATATATATTTTTGGCTTAATACCTATTTCAGATAGACATTTGTTTTCTTTCGTGTTCTTTTTTTAAAATTCATTTGACCATTACATTATCACTGACAAGCAAACAGATTTTTTTTAAGTTGAGAAAGTGAGTTATATAAATTGATTCACTGTTTTCTCCTCCAGATTGTTCAACAAAACAGCAACAACAT